CCGAGACTGTCCGAGCCGGGGCTCGAACCGGCAACCTTCCGATTACAAGGCGAACTCCCAACTCTTGAGCCACGATCGCCCCATATATTGCATTTTTTTCAGGTTGCTGCCTTCAGCACATCTGTGTAACTGTATAACACATCTGTGTAACTGTATAACACATCTGTATAACTGTGTTGCATACATATAATTGTTGTAAGTGATGATGATAAATTCAAAGATGTCAGTAATGCTGTATGCCTCTTGCAGACTAACAACACCAACACTTGTAATGATGCTTTATTCAAATTTATTGTCACTCAGCAACAAACAGCTGCATGTTACTGATCTATGAAATCAGTTCCTCTGCAGTCACTTCCAGGATCAGCCTTTGAAGTCATTCTGTTGCATTCAGACTGATGAATATTTACCACACTGTGAAGTTCAGGATGATTTGCTGATGTGGGCTGGGAATGATACAGCCGATGCCTGCAAACAGTTCAGTATTAGAAATAGTCAATAGATGTATCAATAAAGTATGATAAGTTGAATACAACAAGAAATGTTATGGAACATTTTACAGTGAGCTTACCAACTTCGGTTGGTTTGAATTCACTGTTTGTGACATTGGCCAGCAGCTGCCAGTAGGTACGAGCTTCATTATTCCCAGCAACACCATTCACACTCTCCAGATAAGGCCCATAGTTGTCATTGTCACTGTAGGTGAATCTGTGAGAAAGAAAAGACCTTGTAAATGATCAACAACAGCAGTCAGGCTCAGTATTTGAGCTCACTTCCTCAGCAAATTTCCTGTTAAGTGGCAGCTGTGTTTGCATTTCTTCTTTCTTGTTCAGACTAACATGGTTCGGGTGAGGGAACGATCTTGGTTTGGTGTTATGTATGTGTAACTTATACATGACGATGAAAGTCGTCATGTATAAGAGTATAAACACTTAAAGTTAGAAACGGCCAAAGACAAAACACTGACCATCAGTTTGGAAAACAAACAGCAGCCTTCCTGTCCCAAACATCACCAAGACCTCCTCTCAGTGCTGAGTTATGGCTCTGCAACTACATCAGCTCAGATAATTAGTATGGCTGCTACGGGTCACTCTAACTTCAAAGAAAGTGTATATCAGATTGGTTAATTTGGGTAGACAATCCGGTCGTTAAGTCTGACGTCACTAGCCGTGCCTGGGCCTAAACTCCGCTGCAGGTCCATATATCAAACGATCACTATGGCATTACTGAGAGTTGAAAAACTGTCTAAAGTCTTTCATCTTTAATAAAATGATC